AGTGAAGGCTTCTAATTCAGTCAAGCCCCAGGTTCTCTGTAACACTACTGTGCAATTCAAAGTCTGGAGCCAGTGTTTCTAATTGGCAGAGCCTAAGTCATGTGCTCAAATCCTGAGAAATCCTGAGGCTGAGAAAATACATATAGCACACAGTGAGATGTTCAGTTTCCATGTAGAACATGGACTCTACTTCCTACCAAGTCTTAGTTGGTAGAGAATTTCCCAAGAATCTGATATTCAGATGGTAAACAAAACGTAAAACTTCAGATGAATTCCCAAAGTCTAGAAGCATTCTCTTGTCCTGTTCATATGCTCCCAACTCTCAAATATGTTAACCAAGATTTCTAGTTAGAGTTTAAATTTAGGTTGCTCTATGGCATCTCAGAAGTATTTCAAGAACAATATCCCAACTGGACTCTTCCTAGACTTCTTCATTCTGTTTATTCCCATTAGTCCAGTTGCTCAAATAAGAAATCAGTCATTTCTGTCATTCTCATCCCAGTATATAAACTTCACAAAGTTTTGTGGTATGTCCACATATTTTGAATTTATCTGTACTATTCTTTTGTCCATTTGTTTGTAATGTGACCATATTTTCTCTTGAGAAGCAAAATTACTGCATTGAACACATCACATTGGGGGTTTTAATGCCTTTCTCAGAAAGTAATTTTCACACATTTCAACAGATATGTTTAAAAATATGCCCATGAGCTGGTCTGGAGGTGTAGCTCAATCAGTAAAGTGCCTATATAGCAACGGCAAGGCCTTGAACTCAAACCCCAGTGCTGTCAAGTGTGTTTCTAATATCCAGAAGAAATCTTCAAAATGAATTATGGTCAGACATGATTTAATAATTGCTAAAACCACACAAAAGGACCTGTCTCAAAGGAAGATCAGCTAAGGTGCCAGTCATGTTTGAAACAACTAAAACTTAAAATTCTCACTTGTGCCATGCCCAGTTGTAGGCAAAACCTTGTGTCCTGTCCTGCTCTTTCCTGTCAAAAAGCATGGGATCTGTTCCACTTAGGTATCTAAAAGGAAATAATTTATAAAAGAGGGCTGAAATCAATGTGAAGTCCCAATACTGTGTTACACTGCCTCAAGTAAAATGTTTTGTAGATATGTTGAGTCCTGAAACTCCTGGGTTGTGGGGTGAATCGTGTCTCCCTACCCGACATATGTTGAAGTCCTTTAGAAAGTCATTATAGTTGGTGATCCATTTTTTAACAATGTAATTATGAAGTTTTTAGTGTAGGCTGTATTCCAGTATGACTGGAGTCTTTCCATGAGGAGGAAACTTGGTCGTGAATATACATGTACAAAGAGGATAATCAATTAGGGATGCAAGAAGGTGGTTGCAAGCCAAGGAGAGCATTCACAGAAAAACAAAACAACAAAAAAACCCTGCTGGCCTTGGGCCTTCATCTTACACTGTCACTGGCCTGTGGGGTCTTATGACATCCTTTGCGGGTCAGTATATTGCTTCAATATTTCCTTTTTCACCTGAGTCCAAATAAAGCCACTCCCTGAAAACAGGAGCCATACTAGCCTTCTACCCCTTTTTGGGGAGTGATGCTGGGATTTGAACTTAGGCACTCTATTACTTGATATATCCATAGCCCATTTTGCTCTGGTTATTTTTGAGACAGGGTTTTGCTCTTTGTGCTGGTGTGGACCACATCTTCCTATTTATTCTTCCCCTGGGAGCTGGGATGACAGGTTTGCACTGCCATGCCGAGTCTCACAACTTTTTGTCCAAAATGGCCTCAGACTGCTTCCAGTCTAAGACTCAAAGTACTAGGATTACAGGTGTGTGCTACTACACTCAGCTATTGATAATTTTCAACAACTACCAGACACTCTCTCCACTTTTTTCCATAGCCGCTGCCAGCACCATGTTTTGCCTGGACTCCTTTATAGTCTCTCAAGTGACTACTACCTATTGTTCACCACTCCAATAATCTTTTTTTGTGTGTTTAAAATCAAACTCTACATCAGTCTCTAGATGATCTTGATTCTTGCCCAAACAACTTCATCTTGCTGCATCCTCCTTATTCTCACAATGAGTTTGCCTGTACTTCCTACAGTGGGAGCAAGAAGCCTAGCTCCTCCATGCTTTAGGGTCCCCCTTCTATACACTGTTCTGTGTGGTAAAAGTACTTTCCAAAATGGACTACAATAAAATTTCCCATTCTGGTTCTTTTTTTACTAATGACTTTGAAATAGATACATACTTATCTACATTCCCTTTCACTGAGCTTGAGTGTGCCTGTGACTACTGAAGTGCTACTATACCACTTCCAAGGCTGGATATAAAAGGATATAGCCTTGCTTTCTTGGGTTAGATGTTCTGAGAATCTAGCTCCTACGCAGTCCAAGTGAAAAGGAACTGAAGCTCTCAGCCCACAGACCCACAAGGAGCACCAGACAATGACCAGCATCAATTTGCCAGCCACCTGAGTTACCCATCTTGAAAGCAGGTATTTGTGGCCTCAGGTAAGTTTCCTACCAATGCTGTTGGACCAAAGGAGATGGGCTGGGAAGATGGCTCAGTGGTAGAGCACTTGCCTTGCATGCATGAGGCCCTGGGTTCGATTCCTCAGCACCACATAAGCAAAAAAAAATAAGCCGGAAGTCCTCTGTGGCTCAAGTGGTAGAGCGCTAGCCTTGAGCTGAAGAGCTGAGGGACAGCGCCCAGACCCAGAGTCCAGGCCCCACGACTGGACCCTCCCCCCCCAAAAAAGGAGATATCCCTACCAAGCCCTTTTTAAACTGTAGATTTGTGAATGACTGCTCTTTTTAGCCACCAAGTTTTGGGAAACTTTATTATGTACCAATGACCAGTATAACCTGGAATACTTTTTCTTCTTTCGTGTCAGTTTAAATGTCTTCTTCCTGATGGCTCTATCCCCTATTGCCTGTTTCCTCTTCCTCCATAGCTTCTGTTGGCTTGTAATTATTTACTGACTTGTTTTTCTACATTTTCTACTAGACCTGACTCAGAATTTGACTAGGCGCCAGCCATTACAGGAAGGATCAGGATCATTGTCAGAAGCCAACTGGCATGTTTTTTTTTTT